TTCTACATTCACGTTCTTCATCTGGAATGTGTGGTACAGAGATTTGGGTGATTGCTTCAAACTCTTGTATAGATGTTACCGATGCCCCAACCCTAACAAACCGTGCCATGAAGGTCCTCTGTCTGACTACGTATCCTCGACTGGGAGACAAGCGGTCATGTTCCCACATAGAGAGTATCTGGGGATCATTGGTCCCAGAGCGTTTGAAAAACTGACGTTTGGTTTGGTGGTCGGTCCGGATACGAACCCCTGGTCATCTTTTGGAATTTCGCTGAAGAAATCCACGTTACAAGCCTATCCATCGTTGATCGAACAACTCATGTCCCCCAACCTCGACGAGGGACCGATCATTGATAGAAAAGCTTACTCATTCTATCTCCCTAGGAAATTCCGCTCAGAGGGTGAGCTCATTCTAGGTGGTGAAAATAAAACTCATTATTGTGGCTCTATGAAGTATGTTAACGTCGAGGACGCACACTTGGACGCGCCCGGCATGGCATTTAATGGATTAAATATTGGAGATTTTGATCCAATTGTGGTATCAGGCGTGGTGTATCTTGATACCAGTGTGGATTCTCTCCAAATACATGAGTCTCTCAAGTCGAGAGTAATCAACTTGTTACAGACCGCTGGTACAAAGAACGTCACTATCGAAGAGAGTTCGGGGCTATTCTACATGGATTGTTCCAAGATTGTATACCTTCCGTACGTTACATTTCTTCTCAAGGGTCATGATGGCAGGAGTGTTCGCTTCGAGATGACCCCGTACAACCTGGAAGGAAAAAGAGTTGATGACCGTCGTTGCACCCTAGCCTTAACGTTCGGTCCAGTCTGGTACCTGGGGGCACCATCTGTTGTGGGCACGTATATCTATGTGACCGAAACTCAAATCGGCTTTGCCTCGTTGGTCCAGTCATTACTAGGCTCAACTTCTTTTTCCTTTTGTTGATATGTCCTGTTCGAGCTGATTTTTGTTGACGCTCCTGTCGTTCAACGACGAGCGTGACAGTAGGGAGTACGCAAGTCCGAAGCTTATGCTTATTTTTTTGCTTGATTCGAGCCTTTGAGGATGATGTTATGGTAAGACTATATTGGTGCTTCTTGGTTCATGCCCGTTGTTGTGCCGTGAGAACAGGGAACACATCGAAATGAGCAGGGGACATCGGATAGACCATTACACTCGCGTCATCGTCGTATAGTCAGACTCGTTACAACTTAGTCATCACACGATTACCTATGGAAGTTGCCATTTTACGAACTTGGTTCTTGGGCTCGTGTAGGTCTGATATAATCACTATCAGTAAGGAAACTCCCATAACTTCTGATCCGATTTCAAAGAGGAATATCTCGACAACTGCTACGGCGCCGACACTGATTTTCAAGGGGCCTAGGCAGGTGCTTCAAAAAGATGTTCATCCAGTTGCGTTGGATGTAGAGGTCTTTGTACCAGTCTTCGCCTCCAGTTCGATGTGAAGCGTATTCCACATTATCAACCACTCAACCAAACAGGACCCGCGGCAATACATGCAACTCATAAGCGGGTGGTAATAGTACTGACATGCTAGTGTGGCCGAATCAGGGAGTCACGCTATTAGGTTCTGATTACTTAACATAAGAGTAGTAATCGTATTCGCTATGTACTCGTCGATTAGGAAGACGACTTGAAACTCACCCAGTGTACGATAGAAATGCTTTACCTCTGCACATATTCTTAGCATATCCGGTTTTCCAACTCGTGCACAGACACCACAACGAGTACCATCTTGCGGCTCAGGGAGGTATGTACTTATGCTTTACCTGATATGACCTCCAAGTTTCAGGGACCAACTCTTCGTAGTTAGTGAGAAGTCGAAGCTTGGTGAAAACTTTTCTCCACATATTCTTAGCATACACGTGTTAAAATTGTGCCGCAAAATACCAACTTTTACTCGGGGAGTATATCTGTAACTCCGCTCCTGATCTAATGCTATACATCAACAGAAAGAGAATCGTTCATAATGGTATCCCTCCATGTTTCACTCGTGGGTATTCCTGCCTATCACGCAGAAGATCCGGGTTCACACCCGGCGGCGGAAATTTTACCCACTTACTGGACTTCTTCGTAGTGCAATCAACAGAGCAAGCATCAGCAAAGCATTACACTGCGGGCTAACTTTGTATCTATATCTACAATCTCCTCTTCTTACATACCGCTCGCTGCGCCACATCTTCGATCTCCTCTATCGCTGCCAGAAGGCCTACCCCGACTCTCACGCTGGCTTAAACAGAAGCATTTCTATGAGAGCCAACTGCCGTGATCATCACAGCTAGGCTCCCAATCATAGTATCAGAGCTGAATTGATTTTCCCGTGCGGATATCGACAAACTTTGTACTTGCGTGCACGGGCTGACTCATACCACGCCTTTAGTTATTACTGCACTCTGATTCCCTATCATCCCTGCTCATCCGCAAATTCTTAAAAATCATCTCCAATTTAACTACCATAACTCTTCACCCGTCCTCTCGGTACACGAAGCACCGTCAACCCAAGTGAAATAGCAGTAGCAAATCTCATGCTAGACTAGCATAAGATCATTTCATCATTCCTTAATCATTCAGAAAAACTTCCAACCAATAACATATTATACACGTAGATAAATCACGGAAGGATGCGAGATAGCAAAAGTATGACTTTACTTATGATTTTCACATCAATACAACCTACACAGAGATCCCTATTGTCACCCATACCACTATTCCTTACAATACAATAGTTGATACACAGTGGCCATCCGGATAACGTGTCAGAACCACACCACTGTCAAAGTAGGGCAACTCAATGCCAATCGATCAGGGAATGATAATAATAATAATAATAATAATAATAATAATAATAATAATAATAGCTCCAAGTCTACCTCGGGGTCGCACTCGACGCGAGGAGATTAGCTGCTCGAGTGTATTAGATTAGCACGTGACTAGTCATCCCTAGCCATATCTTGGTTCTTCGTAAAGCTGCTGATACATCACTGCCTGTACCACCACACTGTGCCGGTCTATCACTCTTAATGGAACCAGGCAACAACAACAACGAGGATATAATAGTATAAAAAAATACACAAATTGCAATCTGTTACGGAGGTACAGTGGAGCTTCACCAACCTAGTGATGTGAAAAACACTAGTGAGAAACATATTTCACGACTACTGCATATCACCGCGAATATCGCCACTTCACTTAAAACGGGTTGTGAAACTCCATTATATTGTATTATCATATTACTATTAATATCTAGTATAGGGTATAACTATATATATGTATATCGTTATTAAATATTGTACAACAGCATCGCTCGACCAATAATAAAACTGCTGGCCAAGCCGTGAGTCGCGCCACACCCAATGTTTGCTTTCCTCAGCCAACTTCACTAACTATGTAAGTTCACATACAAATTCGGGTAGAAGTGTACAGAAACCGATGAGAGTTTCTCACAATTTCGTCAGAATTTTCATATTGTCACCAACACATGCAGTTGAGCACTATGCGCATACTTTCCCTTCACACTTGGCACCATCCGGACGAATCTCCGCCGCCTAGAGCACAAGACGGTCAGCAGCAGCAAAAAGATGCTGTTTTATTTAAAGACGCTGTTAGAAGTTAGCAAGAATATTTATTTAAAGACGCTGTTAGCTGTTTAAAGACGCTGTTTGTTTAAGACGCTGTTGTATTTAAAGACGGCCAGCGCAAAAAGCAGCAAAAAGAAGCAAAAAGATGGTCATTGCTCAAAAAGAGCAATGACCACTCAGTATTGAGATATATATGTTTGCTTTCCTCAGCTGATATGAGGACTAAGTCAAGGCTTATTATAGGCGTTTGAATACGTATTAGAGTAGAAATGTACAGAAACTGATGAAAATTTCCCCCAATTTTCCCAGTAATTTCATATGGTCGGCCACACATGTAGTTGTCCATGTGCATATTTTCCCGCACTGCTCTCACTGCTATGAGTCATGAAATTTGACTAGCCCGAAATGCAGACACATCGAGGGCGATCAAGATGAGCTGTTCGAATTCGACAAGGTCGATTCGAGTCGCGATGTATTCTATCACGCCTTTCATTAAGGAGTAACTGAAAGGTATCTTGAGGTCCACTGGGGAAGATGCAAAATAGGTACGGTTGAGGACCCTCCTGTGCTTCCATGAGTTCTCGAGTTCACTACCTCGAATACAGTGTGGATGTTTCAGTACAAATTCCGCCTAAGTCGAAAGCTACTGTTGAAAGGGTTGGTCACTGAGCAATTGACGTCGTTATCAAGGTAGATAGAAGATCTCCTTAGAATGTACTTGATGGAAACAAGCTCAACACAAGATCGAGTTTGCTAACTACTCGGAGTCTTTGCTCATTTTTGTGGCGCGTGACGGAGGCCCCAGTTGCGGGTAGTCATAGTCGACTCTTGGCCAGCACGATTGCCTGTAGGAACAGACCAGCCTCGCAGTATGGTGGATTAGGTAGTACTGCAGTGTTTAGAAGTGTGTACTGGACGATGCGCGGCGAAATCGATCGCGTGATCGATATTACCCCAGCGTGCAGAGGAAAGTTCCGGACTTCCCACACTCGGCCATGCTGACATGTGTTGGGCAGTAAGGAGTCGATTATGGTTGGTTAATACGTATGGTCATAGGCCAGTGTATGCGTGCTAAGTGGCGTATCTTGAGGTTGACTTCTTCGGATACAGAATAGGTCCGCAAGTTGATCATCATCATAATCTGTGATAGTAGCCGTAGTTGTTTACTACCATGAAGTTCTCACCCGCGGTATCATCGTCCCGTCGTAAGAGTCGTAAGGCTCACTTCACTGCCCCTTCTGACCAGAGGAGGATCATCATGTCCGCGCCCCTCTCCAAAGAACTCAGGGCCAAGTACAACGTCAGGTAATTTCTATAATACCATCAACGATTCATTTATTCATTATATTCCCGCAGGTCCGTTCCTATTCGCAAGGATGATGAGGTTATGGTTGTTCGTGGTCACTACAGCGACCGCGAGGGTAAGGTCACTGCCTGCTACCGTAAGAAGTTCGTTATTCACATCGAACGTCTCACTCGCGACAAGGTGAGTATTACTCCAGTAGTGAGTCTATGGTAAATGCATGTGTTCAGGTTAACGGCTCCCACGCCAATGTTGGTGTTCATCCTTCCAAGGTTGTCATCACTAAGCTGAAGATGGATAAGGACCGCAAGGCTCTCCTTGAGCGCAAGAACCGTTCTAAGGACTCTGGAAAGAAGAGATACACTGAGAAGGATGTCGCTATGGCTCAAGTAGATTAGAACTGCTACTACTAAGTGGTGTAAGCAACGGCTCGAAGACTGCGGTGGTCATCGTTTAAGGGCTTGAGTTAATCGAGTGGCGGCGGGTGGTGGGGTTGGGGCCTCTGTAAATATCATAGGCGAATCCCTGGGTGTAAGTTAAAACAATTGATTCGCGACATGCCGCTTGGGATAAGACTGTGATGAACGAGAATGTACTGACATTCTTACTGAACTGGGGAATGAACTCGGGGTTGATCGTGTGGGAGGTGGCAGTCCTAACCAACTAGACTACTATAGTGATGATTTGTAGCATATCATGACCGATACGGGTATGATAGAGTGCGCCTAGCTGTAATGGTGCCACTTCCGTGGTTTAATAGAGATACCAAACCGGAGTTGCTCGAGATCTCGATTAATCTCACTCTCAATCTATAACTCCTCCTTCCAACTCGCCTATGTCGGGATTTGGTGCTATTCTGCTCGGAAGACTGTTGAGGTCTGGGTTGTGGGGATGAGAAATTATCGACTGTCCTCAATCAGGATCGGAAAGGAGATTCTGTCTTTTGGTGACGAGGCGAACCATCGGTCAGGCTTCGTGTGTTCCTTTCTCAGACATTCTAATCAGCTGCTGCCAACCATGATGACGTCACTCTGTTATCGTTAACACATCTATGGGAGTAGGCTACATAGAGTACGATGAAGCTGGCTGATAAGCGAACGCGACTGATGGAGGATGAGTTGGCGAATCTCCGAGTCCCACCGATCCCATTGAAACTAGAAAATATGCCCGAGTGTGTCATTCAAGTGGTTCTCGTTGCCCTCAGTGGCACATAGTATTCTCTCTATTGTTGTGTGTTGGGTTACGATAGTTATCGGGAGGGCATCTCATTTGATCAGAGATGTGAATCATGTAAAAGCCACTTGACACGAGTGATTGCACACAGGGGTATGCCATAGGGAACACATTTTGAACCATTTCGCACGCGAATAGGGTCTAGTGGTCACAATTACATGTCCTACGATTGCGTTGATGGGAATCTCTTGAAAGCACTCACAGTTGGATTTTGGCAGTTGTTTTCAGCAGACGTAGCCGTGAATGGTTCCTCATCCACCTGTAGTTGTGGTCACGGGTGCCAACAAGGGCATTGGTTTCGAAGTGTGTAAGAAGCTCATAGGGAACGGTGCCAGGGTGATCATGTCCGCTAGGGACGAGAAGATGCTCAGGGAAGCGGCAGGTACCATCAGATGATATTCTCTTTTCCTGCGCAGTACACTATCGATGGATTGAACCCTGGGTCTCAGCTTTATCAGCGCGATGTGTTACTATGTGGGCTGACTGTACTAGTAAGATTATTAGTTCGTATCGTTGGGAATCTCACCTCGAGTTTGTGTTCAACCACGTGACGCCTTAATCAAATCTTCTCAGATACTCTAAAGCCCTATGGTGCTGTTCAGTTAGATGTCTCTGATGCTGCATCCATCGAGGGCGCAAAGGCACAAGTAAAACTGTATCGGTCTCCCCTGATGACAGGAGACGTGCCTCCGTAGATATCTAAACTAACACCATCAATTGATGCACTTGTCAACAA